TTCTCGATGGGGACACTGATTAGCAACACTAAGTCGGTTTTTGATGACTGTTCTCGATTTCGGCCACTAGAGAAATGCTTGATAGGATGCTGTACTGTCTTTGTGGGAGCTTACTAGTTTGTACTGGTTCCGACCAATCCGGTGAACGACACATTTGTCGCCTGTTCTGATTGGTCTTTCCACTCCGGCAGAGGATTGGATGATTCTACTGTACAAGGCAATTCGACTATCAGATTGATGAAAAAAATATTTGATAGTGAAAGCTCATTCGAAAATTATGGTCGTAATCGTTTTTGTAAATCCATGAGTATAAAACTCATTGTGTGGTGGACATAAAGGAGACTAAAGAAAGTGACAATTTTAATTTTTTATTGTAATATTGCCTTCAGTTTTATCCAGCTATGGTAAATTAGATCTTACAAACAATTATGAACATACTGCCGGGTGAAACGTTAACCATTTTAAAGAGATGAAATAACTTTGAAAGAGGTTTTTGAATCCGAAGTTAACAACGTATTAATAACTTACTTTGTGTATTGAATTAGTCGTAATGCTCAAAATTGTTTCACGAAAAAACGAATTGGATTTTTGGATGAATTCAAAGACATTTTTCTCAAGTTTGTAAGAGATATTGCAACTGATTAGCTAAAATGAGAGAAAGTGTAAACATAGTTTACGTTTGTCAATCTCTAGAACTGAGGTAATGCGAATATATAAACGAAATTTCTACGGTTTGTGGGCTAATATGAATTATGCCCACGGCTGAAGGTGACTTAAATATGGTTTCGAAATACGTACTTTATCAATGATTTGAATAAACGTATAGACAATAATCCACATAAATGACCAAAATATAGTGGCAGTGTATTTATATCCCTCGAAACACGGTTTAATTTTCTGGATCTTGAGACACCACAAATATTTGTAGATTTTGAAATTATACACATTACATTCCCGTTATTACACGGTAAACTAAACAATTGTCTAAGTTCTCAGATCATAAGGACAAATAGATATACGGAAATAGTCGAATCGGTACTGACATTATCCGGAACTGGCAAACCTATGCATTTGACGAACTCAGTGACCATTAACGCGCTGAGTTACAGGTTTGTACACGTATTCAGCGCAAGACTGCTCCAGACAATTGATGATGTGTTTGACTGTGGGATGTGGGATGTGCACTGTGGGATTAAAAGTAGATGAAGCTGATTGATATCCTGCGTGATCCATAATGACATTTATTTCGCCTTTTAACTATCTGGAAGATGCCATTACTAACTGCAGGTAATTCAATGTGGCGATCCCCCAGCCCGATCCCGGATTGGTCACTTATGGATACTGATTAGCGTTGGGGATCTGAAGATCCACAAACTTTTCATAAACATAATGAAATCGATACATTTTGAGGCTCACATGAACTTGACTTTGCATCTGATTTACTTATCTTTAGTTTCGTACAGTACCATTCATTTAACGAGTACGGATTTATAGCTCCTGCCACATTTTAACAGTGGTATATCACAGATGAAGAGGTGGTTTACTGCTCTTTCTCTTGCATAAGACCCTACGTCTATTGACGCTACAACCTATCTATATTACTGAGTGCACGCAGTGTAGATTATGACATCGTCATGAAAATTCCTCAAAAAGTTTGTGTTTTAAAATCCAAACAAAATGAGTAATACGTTTTTGTTAGCCAAACATGTCCATGTACTGGGCCGAGGTCAATTTTCCCTCTGTGTTGTTTACATATGCTTCTAATCTCCCTGGTCCACCGTCGACTGACACGTTTGTCGTGCATATCTATCGCTCAACTGATTGATTGGCCGATACTGGCTTCTACCACACACGCACTCACCGCATGCAGACTTACTCTGTTCCAAAATCGATCCGTTTCAGCCAATCAGAGATTAGTATTGAACTGTCCACGCTGATTGATTCGTTGACTGTTTGACATCCTTGCTTGACTGCATTCGGATGTCATGTACCGCTTTCACCTGTTGTCAGCCTACCTGCCTGCCGGATACATGTGTACTACTACTGCATATAAGCATACCACCTAATTCGCTGCATGGTTATTTAACTGCTCAAACGAGGAAAATAAAACTCATGAACGTGTGGCAAATGTTTTGACACGTTTAGCCCCAATTGTGCATAACAACAGTCAAATGGGACTAGTCAACCACCAGCATACATCTATTACAGGTTTAATCGAGACTGAAGCAACAGGTCCCTGTGAAACACTTGTGTGTTCGTATAGGCAACAGTATTTATACTAGAGGTAACAAGTTATGTACCTGATTCCGATGTACTATTGTTATGTGGTAAAATTACTCTTGTTTTATTCTGAAGCATTCAATCCACGAAGGAATCCGAATTTAGTCGGTTCCGTCGACGTCATTATTGGTTCGATACAACTTGTTTCTAGTTAAACGGTAATCCCCCAAATTCCCCTATTCCATCCTTCCCAGCGAGAATACAATCGATCGTGACTCGTTCGAAACTGTAACGCGTTTGACCACGCCATTTACTCGTTTTCATACGCTTAGCAATGTGCCGTCTTAGTGTGAGTCCTATTTGTCTTTCACTAGACCTTTGGGATTATGGTGTTCGTATTTTTCTAACGTTTCAGATTGTCAGTTAAATTCCTCCATGGTGAAGCTCCTGTCTATCGTCGGTTCCAGCCCACGCCAAGACTCGACTCACATCTGGCTATTGTGCGTCCGCTCCATGGGAGAGGGGAATTCTGATGTACGGTAAAACCGAGGAATATTACAAAACAATCACAACGCACACCAATCAGCGGCGGGGGGAGAGGTGCGTCGTCCGATGTCTGGAATGTGCTTAGCCTGGCCGTAGTGTGCATAAATGCATATCCAGAGGCTACCCTCTCATCAACCGCCGCCCCTGCCCCGTTTGTTTGCACGTGCAAGCAGTGAAACGTGTTTGTTCGTTTGCAATGGATCAGGGACTCATGTGCAAAAAGCGAGAAGATGAAAACGAAGGATGCGGGAAATTTATTCTTGTTCGTTGGTTTATTTTATTCTGGGACACATGGCGCGCGGATGTGAACGGTTACATGTACACATGTTCACACGTACGAGTGGGTGTTTGTGGAGGTAGTTAGTTTTCAGTTACGCCCTATCTGGATGCGGCACTTGGCGCAACAAAATGTGTCTGTATTGTCTCAGTGGGGATTATAGAATACAATTTGAATGGAAATTCTTTTGTGTCGTACAGAACAAAGGAAACAGGCAGAAACAAACAGAATGGGGCGGAGGGGGATAAGTTTAACGCGACTTGGAATTTACTGTTACACTCACACTTTTGGGGCTCTTATGAACCGAGTCTCTCCACCACCAAAATCACTGCCACCGCACTTTGCCAAGTTGTTGACCCCTACATAGTTTTTATCGGTTACTTCCCTAAAACGTGATTTTACTATTGTGTACTCGGTACAGAATAGGTAGTAGTTTACCATCCGCCATGGTAATTATGTTCTCCATTCATACTTTACTGCTTTCAGCGAAAACTGCAGTTGGTGTACATTACTCATGTTCACATAATTTCACTTCGAACGTCCAGAAACAAAAATGTGCAATTTTGAGTTGAGGTTTGCAGCTACGCGCTGTCCGACTTGGCTGTCGAATGAATGAACGGCCATCCCTAAGTCCGATGTGCTAAAACGAGAATGGGAACATGAAATCGGTTGAATATCTTCATCATAGCAAAAGCATAAATAAGAATGCAAATGTGTACGTTAAAAAATGTAAGAAAACAGGTGGCTGGATAGAGTTTTGACACAAAAGATTCATCCCAGTAAGCCAGTTTGGCAGATAATCAACTGAAAATGAAATTACACCGAGAAGTTGGGGCGATTTTAAAGCTAGCCAGTTTACATTATGTAATGTGTCTGATTTGGGGAGAAATTCGGTGGCACATTTGAACCCCGCCAAAGACAGAGGAAGAAGAATGCAGATTGTCTGAATTCGGGAGGGAAATGTTATCACTACCAGCCGGAGAGTGTCAAATTGAGTTTGATGTGTGACAATGATTAAGTGCGTTCGCCTGATCTGTTTCTTGTGGTTCACGGAAAGGTTCGACAAGGAAAAACGATTGAGCAAACGCCGAAGTTCGGGATGACAACCCATTCTGATCATCCAAGGGAAAGCATCTCTACCACGTTCGGTGAAATCCAGACTAACTTTGGTCGTATATGACGCAATAATTGTAATCGGTTAGGAAGGACTTGAATAGTGTCAAAATAAATGCAAATCAGTTAAAGAAACTTCGATTTTGTTCTAAAAATTGATTCCACTTTTTTGAAAGCTACAGTGATTTATGTTAGATCCAAACAGCCCCACAGAACACATTAGCTTGTTTTTATTGATGCGTATGTCCACACACCAACACACACATATATATATATCACTAACTAAAGAGAAAATTGTCTTGGGGAATCAAAATTTTACCCAATGGACTGCCTGGAGTGATTTCACCTTGAGACTTGATGTGACATTCACAACAATCACA